TAGCACGGAGCAACACTTTGAAGCGATTTTGTTTCGAATTCTGGGCCAAAGGTGAATACTCAATGCATCATTGTCCATTGTTCTCCTTTTTCAGTTTTCTACTCTTTGTACGGTATTGCCAGCCGAGGTCAATGAGATAATATCAAAAGCATGAGACAATGTAGGAACACAAGCCTAGATCAAGAATTAATTCCAAGAAATGACTTGCTTACTTTTCCAGAATATAAAACACTCACCCATCTGCATCATCTGAGTCATCTGCCATTCGACTATCAAAAAGGCTCTTGTAATCGGTGTCCTTCTTTGTGTTATAGTAAAATTGGATGATTGACGCCATCGAACGGTGCGGCATCTAAACTGGCACGATGTCAAGGTGCTGTGTAGAAATTTCCTGCAGCATTTGCAAGCGCGACTAGTTAACCAAATTAGCGACCCACCGTCTGACGAATCTTGTCGAACCTTTTCCCAAACATATGAAATGCTTGTTTGAAAAGAGTTCGATCATCTTCACTCCACTCCTCTGTGATAAGGCGACGCGTTTTCATTTTTTCCCGAGCAACATCAAAGTCGAAGTTCGATTTTTGCAAGAGATATAACGCCTGAAACAAATAGGAATGAAAACAAAATTCAATGTGGACAGATTTTCTTCTACAACACAGGCAGAAAGGTGAAAAAAGTTTACCCGATCATAGCTCAGCTTATACACTCCTATCGCATCTTCACAAAATTCTAGGAGCTTAGTTTCATCAAGATCACCAGGAGGACGCCACATAACCTAAAGTTACCTGTCCTTCGCGTTAAACATGAAGACTTCTTGAGAAGGAAAAATTCAAATCTATCGTTAAAAGTTGCTCCAATGACGTCTATATACGAGAAGTTTCACTTACGTGCTCTCTTTCGTCTTCTTCTGACATTTCAAGTTCCTGTTCAGCCTTCTGCGACTCATCGACCCTTGCTTGGAAATCATCACCGACTTGGATTTTGCGATCGGCACTGCTTAGCATTGCTGAAACACAAATTATAGAATCCGGATTCCAGATAGCGAAGGTTTCCTAAAAATGAGGCAACGTTCAAAACATCTCTTCCTTAGCAGTTTTTTTTTCTGCAATCTGACAAAACCGTAGAGAAAAGGGCAGTCGCAGCAAAAATAATACAATATGGTTGAGAAATGATCCAAATGCCGAGAAAATGGATAAACGCAAGCGAGGAAGGGGAAGTCAAATAGTTACAACAGGCGAGGGGTGCGCAGAATGGGCGGAACCAAAAACAAAAAATATCGGTTGCACCGCTGAACCCTGTGTGACGCACTCATAACCGTGTGGAGCCAAACTTAATGAACTGAGGGTTCGCCAGGAAAACGTGTAGCTAAAAGGTATTAGGTTGAGGTTGTCAGATAGGCTCGAGCTTTTAATCTTAATTTTGCCTTTATATTGCACTGGAACGTATTAAAACTAATTTGTAAGGTATTCGCCATCCT